TCTGCATTCTTTTTTGCCAAGTGAAATGCTGATTCAGCTTTCCTCTCTGTCGTTTTCAATGCTGCGATGAGCTCGTCTAATTTCTTATTTATAGGCTCAATTGTTTGTTTGAGAAGCCCAAATTCGTTTTTAACTGTCCAACCTCTCCACTCAGAGACTTTAAATAATTCTTGATTTTATTCCTTATCTCTGTTAAGGCATGCAATAACACAGTCTGTTCGCTTTGGTCAGGGTTACTCCCCCCTGCCACCATTTCCTCTAACAGAGACACCTCTAGGTCTGAATCATCTGAGTGTTCAAGGTCAGTGTTACTCTTTTTGGGAGGTCCATAAGGAGGATTTTTAGTACCTTTCTTTGCTCTGGTCCTTCCCATAGCTGGCATTGGTATTTGTTCCAAACTTGGCTGTATTTTCTGGAAGCAGAGCTCTAATTTTTCCGTGGGAATAGCAGGAGCTGGAAGGGATGCAGCCAGCCGGAAGCTCAGCCACTATGCCCCCCTAGGTTTCCCATCTAATTAACAACACTGGTATCTCCATGCCTACTACCCCTCTGCATATCACACTTAATCCAATCAAGCCTGCTATTGTCATTCACCTGCAATTGCCATTCAACATCTGAAATCACCTTTATAAAGTTTATGGTACCTTGTGTTACTTTTTATGGAACGCATGGCCCGGCCCAACACAGTGACATTTATGTCAGATCTGGCCCTCATAACAAATGAGTTCGACACTTCACTATAAGAATGCCACCACTTAAAATCTAACTCTGAAGCCTTAATGTCAACACACTGGTTTCTTTCTCAACAGCACTGAAAGAGGAATAAATGTGCTGGAAGAAATGTACTGGAAAATTGCTTCTGCAAGTGTGTATCTGTGCAAAGTGAAGCCCATGATATTCACAACTGATCATTTGTGAGAAGAAGACAGAGAAAGCTACTGGTTGAAAAATGTGGCGCTGGCTCTGTACGAACACATTTACTAGGTTGTACAATGCACAATTTCAGTTTTGGTTAGTAATAGTTATAGGTATACGTATCAATAATCAGCAATATTTGGACAAAGAAAGCATTTTCATGTTGATGTAATAAAGGCAGAGCATCAATGCAGATTAAATATTGACATGTCTTTTTATGTCTTCCATGACACCAAATGCCAAAACCCAAAATTTCTTTAAGGCAGCCCCATCTAACAAAAAATAAGCTCAGATTAAAGCCTTATGGAATGTTTTTGCATCTGATCAAGTGGACTCTGGTTAAGATATTTAACAAAAAAAAAAGTGGACTCTGGTTAATGAAACTTTGTGCTCAATAAAGGCATTAGTCTTTATAGTTCCACAGAAGTCCTTGTTATTCTAGATGTAACAGATTAACATACCACCGCCTGGAAGTTGTTGTTATGGAACATAGTGCATGCAGCTGGGTAACCTGGCACTCATTCATTTGTTATGATCCAGATTTGGTTCCCCTGTATAGAGGGAGAGAGCACTGAGCTCATACATGTGGAAGGCAGGAAGCTGTAAGTGATGAGGTGGCTGAAACAAGGTAGACAAGGCTGGAATGGAACAGGATTTCCAGCACAAGAAATTCCACCCTCTTCCTCCTCCTGAGGCTGCTCCACACCACTGTCATTCTATGCAGAGCTCATCCACTCACAGTTCCCTTTAATGTTAGAGCCTTTGAAGTTAAAATGCTGTGAGAGCAGCTGCATTAACCCCATGATTCCCTTTCTGGCACAGAGATATGGTGTGGTATTAGCTTGGAGGAGGGATAGGATGCTCCTTTCTCCTTCTCTGAAGGGAAGAGCTTCTTTTTGAGGGAAGCCGAGGAATGTCTAATTGCATCCATGTCTAAGGTCAGCTTCCATCTCCATCACCACTTGCACAAAGAACATACTGGAAGAGGAGGAGGAAGGCTTTGAAAGGAGGAGGAAAACTTTGAAAGATTTCTGCAAACAGACTTCTGTTTTTGAAGAGTTAAGAAAGGACTGGGTATTTCATAACAAGATGTCTACACCGAGCGGGCTGACCCAAACTAGGATTACCAAACTGTGATAAGTGTGTTACTGTATGTAGGAGAGGAGGCCAGTGAAATGGAAAAGGGACAGAATGGCTAATTTGTTTCCGGCTTCATCAGAACATTTTAAGGCAAACGTACCTTCTCTGGATTGTGCAATTTGACAACCCCAACCCCAACTGAATTATAGCAGTGACAGAGTATACCAATAAAACAAAGCCCAGTAATTATAATTACTAAAGATCTGAAGGCAGCACTGGGTTTATTGTGCAATGTGCTTTAGAGCAAAAACATGCTTTTCATAACTGTAGGGGGTGGGGAAGTTTTGCAGAATGCGTGTTTCCTCCTGCCTCCTGTATAACTCTGGTAAAAAAATTGAATACAACCACATCTGTCAAGGAAAAGTTATACCTGAAAGTAATCATGGCAGCTGATGTCATAAGAACATAGTAAGAGTCCTGCTGGATCAAACCCATGGTCTACCACCCAGATACTGTTAGCCACAGCATACAACCAAATGCCCTTAAGCCTACAAACATCACTGCAAGCAGAGAATGCTTAATTTAACCAATGTAGTTAGCCTTTCTTTTTAGGTGGTACCTCCTAGACTCACAATCCAGTCCTAGGCAGAGTTGCTCCAGTCTAAGCTCACTGATTTCACTGGGGTTGAACTGAAGTAATTTTGCATAGAATCACACTGTTACACACCTACCAAGGAAACTTTTATGAACAGTCTTCATGCCCAAAAGCTCATTTTCTAGTTAATTACTGCAATGGTGAGCTTATTGTAATACCTGTGACGTCTTCTCCATCACAATTCACATGCGTCTGCTTAAGGATCTCCTTATGCTTTTCTTAAAATTAAAAAGTACCAGTGCTTTTCTAAAAATTCTTGCAACAAATGATCTAACAAGCATACAAAAACAGATTTCTGAGGAAGAGTTGGTATATTGGCCGAGTATACACAATGTAGTTACTCTTCTGATATAGAACCCATAACTTTCAACTGAGTGGAGTAACAGGAAGATTTTACATTTATACTGGTAGGAATCATGTTTAGGTCACCACTTCATCCTAGGGCTGCCAAGTCCCTGGCTGAGGTGGGGAATCCCCCACCTCAAGATGTCATTCCCCGCCAATGCTTAGAGCAGCTGCAGGGGCGGGGGATTAAAATTTAAAACAAATTAAAAATGTATAAACAGTCACCGTCTTCACCCACACCATGACATCACTTCCAGGAAAACCATGGAGTTTCCAGCAATTCCTAGAGCTACTGCCGTCACTTCCAGGTATTCCTCAGAAGTGACGAAATCATTTGGGCGACGACACCCACCATGTCCCTCCTCCCCCACCCTCCCCCCAGTTGCTAGGCTCAGTCTGACAACCCTATTTCAGTCATAAAGTTCACTGGTTGAGTTTATTGTTTAGCCTAATGTACCTTGCAGGAGTGTTGTGAAGATAAAATGAGGAAGGGGGAAGCAATGGAACACTGCCCTGAACTCCTTGGAGGAAGGATGGGATAAAAATTGAATAAATGATTTGACAGCAGAAATTGTCTTGTTAATCACCTTCCTGCTTTACCAAAACACTGTAGGTCCATCAATATTATCCTATACCTGGGCAGGGTAGACCATTTTCATTCATGATTCTGACACATCCTGAAGCCTAAATGTGACTCCATCACTACTTTATTTTGTTGTTGTCTTCTATAAAAGGAATTACACTAAAGGTTCACTTACAGTCTATTCAAGGATCTCCCCCTTGTGGGGAAAAATATAAGCAGGAAAATGGAAGAAAACAAAATGTCAGGCTGGAAAATTGCCACTTTAAATTATATGCCTGATATTTCTGCATTATACTCTAGGGGGCAGTTTCCAGTAAGGATATGGAATGTCATTTTTTTTTAAAAAGCCTCTGAAAACTTACAGGAATCCACTTTCATAACTACAAATTTAGATTTCACAAACAAACCAGATTCATGGTCCATCTAATCTAGCACTGTATCTTCAGCAATGACCAGCAGACCTACCCAAGAAGGGCATGAAAGAATCAGCTCTCCCCACACTGTCTCTAGCACCCGATACTCAGAGGACTCCTGTCTTTGAAAACAGAGATTCATGACAATAGTTGGTGACAGACCTCCATGAATCTGTCTAACTCCTCTTAAAGCCATCTGAGCCAATAGCCATCACTGCGTATCATCTAATCATGCATCTGATCCTACTACTAAACAGCTTCGTTGGATGATCCCCAAACACTAGTAGTATGAAAGAGGAAGGAAAATCTCGCTATCCACGCTCTCCATACCATTCATAATTTTATAAACTTCTATAATCTCCTCTATGTTGCCTTTTTATCTCACACACTCATAAAATAGTCCCCACTCATAAAACACTGAAATCCGTCATACACACGAAAGATTCATTTACAGAAGACTGCTGAACTGACAGATGATGAGGGTGAAAACAGTGGCATCACTTAGCTGAAAATTAGTTGTAGATCCATTCTTTAGATCCCAAACATTATATGGATTAATAAAATGAAATAGATTGCATTAACTTTCATGATGTAACAGGGGAAATGCATAAAGTAGAATACTCTTGGTGACAAGCACAATCCATTAATCTCACATGCTTCTGTAGGATGATGACATAAATTCCAGGACAGGAAGCTTGAAACCACAATAAGATGCCATTGCTCAAAAAAACCTTCAACAATGAAAACTCTTATTTACTTGAAGACTAGAAAACAGAATTTTAAGTATTTTGTACTGATATTGATGTGGGTTTTATGCCATATAATTCTTAAATTGACAGCTACAATCATAGTAACTAAAGGCACCATTATTTAGACATTTTCACATACATGCTGATTCAGATTTGCCTAGCCTAGCATATTGTGTCAAAGAGCAGAAGACATACCTTTGTGTTTAGGTACGACTTTTTCCTGTCACAGAAAATACAACACTTTAAAAGTTCAGACTTACTGTAAGGCAACACCCTCCAGGTCTCTGTGTTTTCGCCATTTGGAGATGGCTCAGGAAAGTAATAGCAACTCACAACTACTGCTGGCTGCAGCAGCTACTGCTAGTGCTTTATAAAAAGTGTCATCTTCATAATGTGTAAGGTGGAGCAATGATTGAGGGGTTGGCCTGACAGATGTAAATATTACCCAGTTTGTTCAGTAGCACTGCATTTTTTTCTGCCCCAGGCAGAAATTGTAATGAAGAAATGTATTTATGACAACAAAGGAAATACAGAGACACGCGGATGGATCCTGTTCACACCTGAAACAATGGTAGAATAAATGCAGCATTCTAGGGACTGGCACATAGACACAAAGAGAATTATTCTAACAAGCCCTGTAAAGAAATAGAAGAAAAGAACAAAAAAGGAAGAACAAGAGATCTGTTCCACGAGATCCAAGAAATCAAAGCGAAATTTAAAGCACAGTTAGGCATGCTGAAAGATCAGCATGGGAATACATTAACTAAAAAGGACAAAATAAAGATAAGATGGGAACAGTACCCTGAGGAACTATACAAAAGAGGTGAAAGGATGGCCAATTCCTTCCAAGAAGAATCTTTTGAAGAAGAACCTACAGTTTTAGAAAGTGAAGTGAAAGCTGATTGACAGCAATTGGGAGAAACATGTCACTGGTTTGAGATGAGATATCAATAGAGCTATTCCAAGCCAAAGAAACAGAATTCATCAAAATCTTAACAAAAATATGTCAAATATATTTTAAAAATATTTTTATTTGTGTACTATACCCAGTACAAACCAAAAATTGTGGGATTCCTAGTAACTTTGCAAGGCTGATTTTGGCCAACTTCATTATGTTCTTCTTTCATTGAAAGCCCTTATACCTGGCAAGCAACACACAATCTTCCATGTAGACTATCACCATGACAACCTCATATATACATACTTTGCTACACATGGAAATTACTAAAAGGTGAAAATTACCCACATCTTCATTATGAGCTCAAACAAGGAAATACATACAGATGTGCATATCACTAAAGCTTTCCCAAACAGTAAAACAGGCATCCATCAAAATCTTAACAAGAATATGCTGACAAATATGGAAAACAAAACAATGGCCCGAAGACTGGAAACACTCAATTTACATTCCAATTCTGAAAAAAGGAGATGTCAAAAACTGCAGCAACTATTGGACCATTGTATTCATTTCTCATGCAAGTAAAGTAAAGCTCAAAATCTTACAACAGACTGTTACTATACATGGAACGAGAAATGCCAGATGTTCAAGCTGTATTCAGAAAAGGAAGCGGCTCTAGAGATCATATTCAGGAGTCATTTCCTAGAAAAAGAGCTCATTTGCATAACTCATTTGCATATGCCACACACCCTGACAAAGGGCAGGCATGTTTAAACTGAGTTAAGGCATATGCAAATGAGTTTAAATCCCCCCTCCCTCTCTGCAAAAGTGGAGAGGCTCAGGGGGAAAGGGGCCATGTCCAACCACGGCGGGCTGGTTGGAGACGGGGAGGGCAAGGAAACAGACATGCCTGGCTTCCCTGCCCTATCTTCTCCAGGTGTCCCGCCGCTGCAGGGCACCTGGAGAACGTCGGGCAGGGGACCCAGGGATTTAAATCCCCCCCAAGTCTCTCTGCTGGCGGCCAGGAAAGGCGGGGGCGGGGCCTGGGCTCCTTACTGCCGGAGCACCACTCCGGGGCACTCCAGCAGGAAATGACCCCTGATCATATTACAAATTTATGTTGGTTACTGGAGCATACAAGAGAATTTCAGAGGAAAATCAGCTTGTATTTCATACATTAAAGCAAAGCTTTTGACTTTGTGGATCATGAAGACCTATAGTTTGTTTTTAAAAAATGCATGTGCCAGATTCTGATTGTTTGATGTGCAAGCTGTATTCCAGACAAGAGGCTGCTGTTAGGACAGAATATGGAGAAACAGAATGGTTTTGAATTGGCAACGGAGTCAGACAAGGATGTATTTTATCTCCCTATTTTTAAAATCTATATGCAGAACATATCATAAGGAAAACTGGATTATATTTAGATGAAGATGGGGTGAAAATTGGTGGAAGGAACATTAACAATTTGAGATATGCAGATGGTACCACATAACTAGCAGAAAACAGTGAAGACTTGGAACGATGAAGGTTAAAGCAGAAAGTGTCAAAACAGGAACACAGCTGAACTTCCAGAAGTAATGGCTACTGGGTATTACACAACTTCAAGGTTGGTGATGAAGAAATGTATTTATTTATTTTGAGATTTATATTCCGCCCTTCCAAGCGGCTCAGGGCGGCTAATAAGCGGCTAATGCCGGATTAAATAGATAAAATACAATTAAAAAATATTACATATCCACAATAAAATTCATAACAGTATTTAAGGTGCTCTATTATCCTGTATATAGATCCCCAAGATGGACAGTAATCCCAAATTGACAGACAGCTTTATTAAATAACGAGGGCTCTAGCAGTGATGTTCTCCCCACTTCCGCCAGGCGACACATACCCCCCCCCCCCCCTACTCAAAAGCCTGGCAGAAGAGCTCTGTCTTGCAGGCCCTGTGGAACTGTATAAGGTCCCGCAGGGCCCGGATCTCCTCCGGGAGCTCATTCCACCAGGTAGAAGCCACTGCCAAAAACGCCCTGGCCCTAGTTTGTTAACGTCTCAGGGGCCTGGAACTTCCAGGAGGTGGAGACTCCCCGATCGTAGTGGTCTTGAGGGAACATACAGGAAGAGGCAGTCCCTTAGGTAAGCCGGATCCTGGCCATTCAGGGCTTTAAAGGTAAAAACCAGCTCTTTGAAGCGAATCCGGTATGCTATTGGCAGCCAGTGCAGCACTTGCAGCACCGGCCGGATGTGGTCTCACCTAGAGAGACCCATCAACAGCCTAGCTGCAGCATTCTGCACTAGCTGCAGCTTCTGGATTTGCGACAAAGGCAGCCCCAAGTAGAGAGTGTTACAGTAGTCTAGCCTTGAGGTGACAGTCACATGGATCACAGTGGCCAGGTCCTCACGGTCGAGCCAGAGATGGTAAAAGGCCGACTTGGCAGTGGCTGCCACCTGGGTCTCCATCGTTAATGAGGAGTCCAGGAGCACACCCAAACCCCTAACCTCCCGCGCAGGCATCAAAGGTACCGCGTCGAAGGTCGGGAGAGGGAGCCCCAGACCGGTCCGACTCAGGCCCAGGACCTCTGTCTTTGCCGGGTTTAATTTCAACCGACTCCGTCTGAGCCAACCAGCCACGGCTTGCAACGCCCGATAAAGGTCATCAGGACCAGAGTCTGACTGGCCGCCCAACATCAGATAGAGCTGGGTATCATCAGCATATTGATGACACCCAAGCCCACACCTCCGGGCAATCTTAAAGGCCCATGACCCCAACCACACAGAAGAGGCAACAGCACCAAAAAGGGGAAAGCTCCCTTCCCTACAAACTCATCCCAAGCAGGTCCACCCAGAGGTGAGTCCCAGGTGAAGCAATGGGCGCAACCCTCAGGAAAGTGGCATGGAGAAAGCAAAAGGAACACAGAAATGCCCATGGGTGCCTAGCTGTCACTGGCAGAAGCATCTCCTGCACCATGGCCATGGTGCACCCTGGGCAACCCCCTTCACCACTGCCAGTGGCGCAGGAGGGGCCTGTAGGGACCAGTGTTAGACTTTGGATTGCTGCTGATATGTCCCATCACCACTGATATGTCCCGTCACCACTGACCCCAGGCTACAGCATCCCTCCTCTCACACTGGATCTCCAGCCACTCCCTCTCACAGGCTGCGGACAAGAGGGTAGAAGGAGTGCATTCCACAGTGAATGGGCCCTTAGCCATGAGCCTGGCTGCAGATAATAATCCCCAGCTCCAGCCACATCATCAGGGGCCAGGCCAGGGTGCACCACATCCCTGGCAGCCTCCCCTTCCCATTCCCACAGCCTCCACCCCACCCCTGTTCAGAGATATGGAGTCTGCCTGCTGGGATGTCTCATCTACAATAACTTGCCTAGGATCTCCATGATGCCGAAGATCTGGAAGACAACCAACCCAGATTCCACAGCCTTTCTTGAAGGGGTGAAGGCACAGAGATGCTCCACAATAATGGCAAAAAGGTCATGGTAAAAGAGTTGGGGAAGGGGGCTGACAGAGCAACACATCATTGGCAGGGCTTGTTCATATCACACATGGGCCCTGTATAGAAATATTGATTTCTAAAAGTCTCATGCCTTCTCCTGTGATGTCTTTCTGATAGCATGCTGTGCCTTGTTTCCTATTGCAAGCCAAATGGTGGGGGCCACATGGCCTAAATAGCCATGCCATAAACCCACGTTCTTTCACACTTCCATGCCAAACGCCAGACCTCATGGCTACACTTTCTGGCCCACATGGAAAAAGTCACGTACATCATGGAAAAGCTGGAAGCTGGGTCACCTGACTGCAGGAGGGGCCTCCAAACTTCTAGCCAATCCTATGTTACAGCTATGACAAGCAACAATTGGGCACACCCCTGTCCACTCGTGTTTGGCTGGATGGCCACAGCTAATCATGACTCGATTGGGGTTTAATTGATTGATCCCAATGGGAATGAGAGCTTGCTTGCTCTGGCTGCTCTCTTGCTCTTGCTCTCTGCTCTTGTTCTCTCTGCTTGTTTTATGGCACCTAGAAATGTCATCTCTTGGGGGACAAAGAACTGCTTTGTGAATTAGTCCACATGGTTGAGCAAAGATGGATTTTTCCTTCAAAATCCCTTGGACTGTTTGGATGTTCCTGAACTTGGTAAATATGTATCTTTTACTGTGTAGTTAAGGCAAATTGCCTTAGGCTTGTTATTCTGGTAAACTCTGGTAGTCTGTGTTAAGCTCTGTACTGAATAAAAATTATTCTTGTTTCTAAATGGTACTGATGTTGTACCTGAGTTCCAAGTCTAAATCTGGTGGCTAACCCTGACCACATATACTACCTTGGTAAGAGTGTGCATCTCTGAGTGAGTTGCTAATGTGTTAAGTTCCGGATACCAACTAAGAGTTTGAAC